TGGTTTAAATCCTACCTCTCAGAGAGGTCGTTCTCTGTTGCTATGGGGCAAAACTCCTCGGCTTCTGCCCCTATTTACTGTGGTGTGCCTCAAGGGTCCGTGCTCGGTCCTGCTCTTTTCTCTTTGTACATGTTGCCGTTGGGATTAATTTTTAGAAAATACAACATCTCCTTTCACTGTTATGTCATAGTCTTTGGTTTGGTTTCTAATGCTCATTATTGAACAACAAAGATTTTAGACACTAGGAATCATCATAAAAACCTCTGAGGTCTGAGGAATAAATGGTGACGTTGTTTTCTAAAGACCTGATTGGTTATATCAAGCATAAGCTGCTCCAGGTTATACGATGAGGTAGGTCTTTATCTTATAGTGGGTAGCAGATAATGGCTTTACCTTTTCTGTAATAGTAAATTCTACACAGAATTCTCCATCTAACTGGACGTGTGTTCTTTAGTCTTTGTTTCAAATCCAGGTTATTCTTTTTTTTCCCTGCTGTCTGCCAGATACACCGATACCTCTGTCTGTTTTCTGCCTCTCCTATCTCGCCTTCATCTTTCTACTGAACTCTTTATGAGACTGCAGTGCTCTAAAAATAATGCCTGTTAATCATACGGCTCTGAAGTAAGGAGGCTGTGTGCTGGTTCACTGCAGCTCGCGATGGTAGAAAAGAGCAAAAAGTAGTTGAACCTTCAATAAAAGGCTTGAGATAAAATGAAAAATGTTGTGTGTCAAATAATCAAAGTCTCACATTTTATTTGCTGTTCCAGACAAATTCAACGCCTACGTGACTTTAAAGGTGCAGAATGTGAAAAGCACAACTATCACAGTCCGAGGGGACCGGCCATGTTGGGAACAAGACTTCATGTTGTGAGTACATCAAACCCTGTTTCTGCTTTGCTCTAAATTTCACTTCTCAGTGTAAAGTTTTTATGTTTTATCACTTTTATATGTTAATGTAAAAAATGCATTTAAATTGTTACATTTAATTCAGTTTCCCTGCTTCTTGCAGCATTTTTTAGCAGTAGAAAGCCTAACAATAGCTTAAATATAAAATGACAGTTCATACATCTTTATGTAGAAACTTCATACATCTTTCATCCACTGAAAGATTACGTGTTCTTTTATGGTTTAAATATTGCAACACCTCGCTGTGCTCTGGCGTACAGATTTGCAGTATTCAAATTGAATAATGTGGGGCTGAAGTAATGTATTCCACCCAGCAGAAACTCACTGACGACACTCGTTGAACAGATGTCTTTGCTAGACTTGAGAACAAAATAAAGATTTGGTCAATAAGTGAAAGCTGGCTGTTCATTTGTCTATAAAAGTCTGTTACATCTGATTTAGCTTTGAAAGTAGAAGACCGTCTCTTCCTCCTGCACGTCTCTGTAAATTGCCACCAGATTCAAACCCAGAACTTTGTTTCTGTCTGACAACGGATACGGAAAAGCTGCATTTCCGAAATGTTGATACTTTCAGTATCAACCAAACTAATCCAGACTTTAAAGTTGAAAGAGATCTAAAAGATCTCTCAAAGAAAACTTCATCTTGCACTTTTTAACCCAATGTAGGCAGGACCGTCCAACCACACTTTAGATTCCTGGTATTGGAGGCATATTTAGTTTTGGTTTCATTTATAAGACCTATACTATAACGCATTGCACCAAGGATCAGTCACGTTATTCTGACTCTAGCTTTGGCTTACATTTTCCTCGTTTACTTTTTTGGCTCAGTGTTGTCACTTTTATTGGCAGCAGTACGACACTAAGCTCCTGGGATG